GGCATATTGCCCTTCAGTTGTCTCTAGTTGGATTTAGTAATGACTTCCTTAACGATGCGTCGAACTCAATTAAGCAGTTTTTTTTCTGTTAACTACTTTTCCACTATGCCGTGCCATTGACGCATTTGTTTACGATTTGCCAATTATAATTATCTCCGCGTAAAAAACTCGCTTATTTCCATTTGCATTCATTGCAATTGTGAGGTAATTTATACTTCACTGTTTGCGGTAACATCAGCGAAAAATATTAACGGCCCATTTTGGAATTGTCCATATGTGGATATCTGCGGTAGGTACAGGAGCAATATTTTATATTTTTATTATATTCCGCAATTTATTAGCCTGTTACATAAATATATGGCATTTTGCGCATATGCATCCGCTTTCATATTTTAAATTTAAATATATGTAAGGAAATATTATAAGTAATATTTATAGCCCGGTGGTCTGGAAACTGTTGTTGTTGTTGTCTGCTATTATTTTATTTGTCTGAAATATGTAAATACATATATACATTTGTTCATACGTCATACATAGGGAATTGTGAAATACTTTTAATCGTTCACAAATTATAGTTATTGAGAAAGATATTAGCTATTTTATGATGAATCATACCTTTAAATAATAACTTTACTCTTTGAACTGTTATAGCTGTTTTACATTGACAATTTATTGATCAATTAATTCATGAAATCGCTTCATCGAGAAATTGGACAAGTGTAATGCACCAAATCTGCTGTCAAATAACTTTATTCATCAAGTTCTTGACGAATTATAGCATGTTCTAATTTTTGTCAATTTCTTCGTGAAGTTCGGAAGTACCAACCCAACAGATTTCCACCCTCAGATCAGTAATGAGGTTGTGTTGTTGGAATATGTAAATAATTGTGTGGCGTCGTACTAGTTTTGCATTATTTTTACTGATTTGTTACTTACAAACACTAATATTTATATAATATGTGTCAAAACGGTACAGCTGTTGTATCACTACAATTATGAGTGGAAAGGTGACATTTTTGAAATTTATTTGCTTCTTTGATTCATTGGTAGAACTGATTCATACGTCAAAAAACTTGACAAAGTCTGTAGCAGTGTAAAACCACTAAATTCGTGAATTAATTCATGAAGAACTTCGTCAATTTATTCATCAATAAATTGTCAATGTAAAACAGCTATTATACAAGGTAATTCACAACATACCAAGAAATTTTGGACATGTACAGGGTGTTTTATAATGATGTGCAAATATTTTAAGGTGTTTAGAAACTAATTTTAGGGGGGGTACTTTCAATACATTTTTATGAGCTGAGCCCCCCCATCATAAAATATTCGAATCTCGAAATGGCCGAAAAAATTAGCTTCTATTTTTTTCGCGAAAACGGTTAAACTTGTGAATTCTAATTTTGGTACACGTTAACAACTAGTTGAATGATTTGGTAGTCTTTTTATTTCTGGTTTATGTCCTTGAATTAAACAAATTACCCCTTGATTTTATTTCTCAGAGAACTTTTTTCCTCGTTAGCTGATTGCAACAAGAAAACTACTCAGTTTTCTCATTTTTTCGTATACTTAATAGTTTACGAGCAAAAAATAAATTATTTTTCCTTACAATCGCATACTACGTTTTTAGTAGCTGTTATTATACTAATTATGTGTAATCGGCAAGTATATTACCTTTGTACAACTTAAAAACTGCATTTTTTGTTAATTACCGCCAATACTTCCAGATCCGATTAATTGTAAGATTTAGTTAACTAATTGAGTAATTAAATTGCGAAGATTTCCATACCTCATTCGACCAATGAACAATCCATTTGATCCACAATAATGCACATTCACATTTCACACTATACATACACAGTAATGGCTGATGCTGTCTTAAGCCGCATTATCTGTTGATTGTTTGCAGTTGCGCAATAAACTGTATTTAATTTTAGGAAATAAATTTCCTAGGAGTGAGTGTTTGAAATTACATCATTCGTTGCAATCATTAATATTATATATTTTATATATATATATAATCTGGTCAATTTTTTTTATGTAGAAATATGTTCGTGACAAACAAGAAATATTTGAAATTCTCTTCAGATTTATTTATAAATAAATGTTTACAGAAATTTTAGAACTTGTTCTGATTTTCTTTATAAAAATGCGCGTAAATTTAAAAAAATTTCGTAAAAATTGTATTTAAAAGATTATATTTTCTCGCTATGTATCTCGAAAACAGCAGGAGATAGACCATACAGTTCATATGACAGGCCTTTCTGAAACACCCCGTATAACCTATTCCACCGACCACATCTACTTCATCACCCATTTTCCATGAAGAAGAGATGAAGTTTATCACGCTACCCGCACTACCCAAAAGTTGGAGAGGATCGAGGTAGCGTGACATTATATTTGTCTTTCTATCATCTTCAGAAACGGGTATGGCGGAATGGAATCTTTAGAGTTAGCATTGCTTGGAGATGTATATACCGGAGGTCTGGCAAAAGGTAAAGACAGGTTCAGTTTTAGAGGTCTTACTGAATCTATCACTACTAAAAATATTCATTCATCAAAAAGGGGTAAAATGTGGATTGTGGATGAACTTCAATACGTGTTAAGAGCAAAATTTAAAGAAAATGATAGAAAGAGATGAACAATAATAAGTGAAACATGGAGAATGAATAAAAGAGAAAGAAAAGTTGCGAGAAAAATAGATGGATGAAGGAGATTCGGGGCTTTTTTTGGGAAATAAAATGAACCTTAAGGACGGGATTTTGTACAAAAAATATCGCCCAGCGTGAGTCACGAAACGTTACCCCGGCAAGTGCTGCTCTAGCTCTAGCGGCCAACGCTTTAAGGTGTGTTGTTTAATAATTTACGCTGGACCGATATTTTAACAGGCCTCGCGCCCGATTGTTCAGGAACGGCTCCAATTTGTGTACTCTTATAAGGAAAGAGAGTAAAGATTTTATTAATCATTAATAGATTATCGAGGACAATAATATTTTTTTTTAAGTAGGCAATAATTTTTAGTTAATAAGCTTAAACAATCTTATAATTACTATTCCTTTATTATAAAAGCAGATATAATTTTTAAAATTACATGTAGTTTCTTCTTCAAAAGCTTAAAAAACGTATAACAGGAACAGTCAACAGTCTAATGTTTATATTTTCACGTTAACGATCCGATACGTAAATTAACTGCTATTTTCAGTAAAAATGATATAACTTGAATTATTTTTTTACTTTGGTGAGTCGTATTAATTTAAAAACACTGCCTAATTACTAAAATATATAGCTACTTATATATACTTATACTAACTTGCTACTAATTACGTTTGGAGAATAATATGTATAGTAGGGTGGCACAAAAAAAAAC